CACTAAATGCCATCTTTGAGACTGTGAAAACTCCCCCCTCCCACATTTTTTTAAGACAACCCCCACCATTCGCAGTGAAGTGCCCAGCAATGTTGCTTGCATTCAGAGATTGCTAGTTAGGAACAGTGTGCTAACAGGGAGAAATGAAAGAGGAGGAGGGGAGACTGAGAGGAAAAAAAATGTTGTGGCCTCTAGCTGTAATCAGCCTTGTTGCTGTCTGATTTCTCAGACTAATAGCTGAGCAATAGAAGTCTGGGAGTTCAACCAGAGGTTATCTTTCCCAGGTAGCATCTCGCTCAACGAGAATTTGATTTTTTTTTCTATAGGACTTTACTCCATTAGATTAATGAAATTTCAATGAGAGCCCGGCACCCCCCCGAAGCTTTGTTAACAAAACAAATGGCAAATCTGTAGGTGAGACAGCTTGTGAGGGAGACAGACGCGAAGGTGAAATTCTTCTCCTCTATCTGCCCGTCCGGCCTGAAAACCACATTGATCTCTATTTAAAACCACCAATTGGATTTTTTTTTGTTAATTATAAATGATTGATTGGCAGGGTTTTGCCTCCCTCATACATGTTCTCTCTGCCACTCCTGCCAGCTCCCCCTTCCTTTGCTTCTGCACTCATGCTTGAAAGCTTGAAACTTGGCATGCAGCTGTGTGTGGATGGAGGCTTTTAGAGTTTTTTTTTTTTTATTAGTGTTAAAGAGAAAGAGAACTTAAGCTGGCTTGGTGTCATAGTTGTGAGCTTTTATGATCTAATAGATGGTACTGCTCTTTACTGTTCAGATATAATGATAGTTTAATTCTTTTTTGGACATAAACTTTATATATAAGCTTTGCCATAAATTGTTATATTCTTCCTGAATATACTGAGACTTAAACATGTCTTTGAATGAAGTTTGCTAATAGATTTTTTAAAATTTTTTTCTTCTTTTGATTTGGAAACTGGAACATGTTTAATTCTTTATAAACGCAACTATTTTGTAGTTGTGAACTGATATGTTTAAAGGTCCCCTTTTCTGTATAATTTATCAGACAATTGTTAAAGTATGTACTCATGTTCATAAGTTTGGAGTTCCAGTCTCCAATAAAACAAAAACTCTAATCAGGAATTAAACAGCCGTAGATGAAAAGACAAAGAAGAGTGTGGGGGCAGGATGAGGACGGCAAAGAAACCACATTTAGTTTGTATAAGATTCTGTATCAAGAAAATTAGGAAGTAAACTTGCTGTTGTATGTTGTTAAAGGATGAAATTGTGGTATAAATAGCCTCACACTTCTTTCTAATTACATAAGAAAAAAAAGTTGTTTCAGTAGATTAAGTTTAACTAATTGCATCCTTATTAATCTGTGGTAATCCATTGTACTTGCTCTTGAGTACATGCCTAATAATAAATAAGACTGGGGACAGATAAACATCTGCACACAGTAGAAAGATATTGATGACTCCAGATATTCTGATAATTCTATTAGTCTTACTGAAATATAATGTATGTGTTTCTATGATAGCATATATTGTATAACCACAGTACTACATTTGATAAAACCATAATAGAGTATTGTGGAGTATAAAAATAAACAATTCCTTGGTTTTTAAAGTGGAACAAGCTTCTTAATTCTTTTAGTCTAGTTGAGATTTGAAATTCCATGCTACCTTGTATTTTCAAAATATTTTATATTTTATAGTTTTGTGCAACATCTACATTTAATATAGCTTTATTTCTGTTATTAATTATTGGTCTAAATATATTTTAGTTGTATAAGTAGATGTCATAACCGGTCAAGTAGCACAGAATATGCTGCATTGAAACAACCATATCTATTTTTACTCAGATGTAAGCCACACAGATTTTATATGTGAGGTTTCTGCATTACAAAGTTATCTGTGCATGACTGTTCATTTCTAATGTTGAGAATGGGATATAAAAATTAGTTTTCAGACTGTCTCTGCTTCATCTTGAAGGATCTCTCTTATATTTTCAGTTTGCCTTAATAACATTTAGGGTATTGATGGTTGATGCTGTCCTTTATCTTGCACTGATTTGACTTTAAAATTCAAACTTCTTTTATATTTTCCATTTTCTTCTCCCCCCCCCCCCTCTCTCTCTCTCTGTGTGTGTGTGTGTGTGTGTGTGTGTGTGTTTAAATATCTGTCTAACTTGCCTCAGTATGTTCCTGAATTAAAATTTCACGTCTACATTAACCCTTTTGCTATTTAGGCATTGTGCTGTTATTTATTTTAAATACTGCTCTGGAAGTATATGTTAATAAATGCTGCACATCTACTCTGCTTTTAACATAATTGTATCCAGGCTTTTTTTGTGCGTGATACATGCCACCTTAAGCATTGCAGTTGTAAATACCTGCACAACTTTGCAATAATGTAGATTGCTCTGTAAGAACCCTCACTTTTCAGAAATGTCTTTCCAGTAATTAATGACACAGGAAAGAAGATGTAACATAGAGGACAGTCTACATCTTAAAAGAGTGGCTTGCTGCTTTATCACTAGAACCTGCAAACATCTACACATGTTTTTCTTCACTTAAAAGATGTCATCCAGTGATATCGTTGTTGGCATTAACCTACTACAATTTAGAAAGTAGATTAAAATATTAAAGATTGAAGTACCAAAAGGATTTCATACATATAGCATATCAATGAAATGATAATTCAAATTCTGCACTTGTTGCTTCTCCAGGTAATGTAGTTCTATCTGATTCACATCACTTGAAAAATTGTAGAATTTAATGAGAGAGAGAAAAAATTGAACATCTGAATCCAGCCAGTGAATTTCGGAATAAGAAGATAAATAGCATATTAGTGGTCTGAACATGAAATCTAAAAGGGAAAAATGTAATCTATCCCAAGTTTCAAATGGGAGTTAAGCATTGCAGTCAGGTTTGATGGCTTTCACTGGATGGTACTCAGCATTTCCCCCATTTATTCCTACCTCCAATTATTGGAAAATATATGACTGAGAATCAGTTTCCATCCATGGCTCATTGGGTTAGGCTGACTCCTCTGACTTCCCCTTCAACCTTTTTAATTTTGTGTGGTTTTAATAGCTAAACTCTGTGTAAATGACGGGGGCGGGGGAGTATTCTAGTCTTTGGACAAAAGCATTCTTCTTCCCTGATGCAGAATAAATGATATTTTCCTCCTTGAATTAAGGATTTAGCTACATTATGGGGTAAATGGTGATTTTAAAAAGGAGGACATTCTATGTACTATGTCCCTTGCATTTTGCATAAAGGCTTCAACTATCTGGTCATTGTGAAATTCCTGGAGAAGTTAGCTGTGTTTTTTATATCTGCCTTCTTTTTGTTGCAACAAAATATGTAATGTCTTTTCAAGTTGTTTTTTATTCTGCCTTTATTATTATTAAAAATAACTCAAAGTGGTGAATATACCTGATACTTCTTCCTCCTCCTATTTTCCCCATAACAACAACTCTATAAAATAAGTTGGACTGAGAGAAGGTGACTCAGTTGGTTTTCATTGCTAAAGTGAGATTAGAACTCACAACGTCCTGATGTTTAACCTCAACCACTAGACCACACTGGCTTACTCTCTCATCAGGTTGTTGTGAAACTCTCTGGGTTTCTTCGTGAACAAATGTCTATCCTAGGTTTTTCTAAATTGTAAGAAAAATATAGAGCATTAATAAACACGTTGAAAACAATAACTTTCACTGGTTTTTAAAGTACTAAATTTTGGACATAAGATTAAATAGCAAATCTCATAGAAGAATGAGAAGCTGCTCTGTGCATTGCAGACAATGATTCTTCTTGACTGGAACTTCTACCCCACTCTGAATACTCAAGATTGTCTTACTTAGTTAGTTATTTTCGCCCAGACTTAACTATCCATCTGTCAAGTAGAACCTTGAAATACCAACTTCCTAGAGGGGTGCACAGGGGAAATTATTGTAATCATAGAGTTAAAAAATATTTTATTACATACTTCTACTCTAATATAAAACAGACTTTTAGAATGATCTCAGCATTCTGTATCAGTCCTGTGTAAAACTGGAAATTTGATAAAAATATGAATACTACATATTTCATGAGGGTGTTATGAAGCAATGAATTGATTACAGTCCTAGATAAGACAAGGTAACTCCATCAAATATAATAGTTTTGCTTCCAAGTAAAGGTAACAGACTTTAACATCTCTAATGTGGCCTTGCTAATAAGGAAAAGCTGCTTTTGGATGTTACTTTTTACAAGCATGGATAAAAACTTTCTAATCTTGCAGTTCAATGAGAGTGAGATGCTTGATGATTTTATGTTAATTTCCCTCCTGGAGACTGAGATTCTTTAGAAAAGCTTGCCTGGAAGTGAAATGCTCATGAAATAGACATACCATACATCAATTTACAGAAATATCATGGACACTGATCTGGAATATAATTTCTCAAGGATGATCACCATTTCATATGTTAATGGTTGTATGTGTGTGTGTTTGTGTTTCTGTTACCACTAGCTGCTACATGGCTGCTAACTCTCAGGCATATTTCTTACTTGAGAGATGCAGGTGGAAGGTTATATGCTACCTGGATGCACAATTATTCTATGGGTACCTATAACATGTTTTGAATATACTCCATAAAAATATGTGATCTTAAACAAAGTTCTCACAAGATCCCCTCTGAGGGGACAACATTCATGAACATTGCTACATATATTTTGTTGGTGATATTTGTGTGCAGCTTATAGTACTACAGAGCATGGTATGATTTCATGCAATGTTTTCTAGATGGGATAATAATCTGACACTATAAAATAACCTATGGGTACAAAAACTCAGCATGGGAATTAGATTGTACCTGCCGTATTAAATATTAGAAGGAAATGTTGCCCTATTAAATATTGGAAGGAAATGCCTTAAATAGATTTGAGTTTAACAATTGGAATCCTTTTTTTAAAATAGCTGACTATGTGATATCTTGCTGAATTCAGAGTAGTCACATTTTTATTTATTCTTAACCTTAAAGGGGAAAAGAAGAGAGAGAAAGAAAAAGTCATTCATAAAAGGTAGGCATTTTCCACTTATGTGACTGTTCAGCTTCAAGCTGATATCGTTGGTGGAAGAATTATTATTGCTGTTCTTCATGTGATACTTAGTGGGGGAGAGCCTAAATTAAACATGCAATGTTTATTACTTAATGGTTGAATAACAGCCCACAGCAAATGTATTTAATTTGACATTCTACACACAGATATACACACAGATAAACATAAACATGCATGCACATATACACTACCACTTCACTTTTTACCAAGTCTGATTTTTCTCTGAGTTTATATTTTATCTTCTAGCAACTTCAGGCTCAATATAAGTGATTTTTTAAAAAGATGATAATACTGTACAGAAATATTGCTGCTTTTGATATGCAAATTTTATTCTTTGATTCACTTGTTATGTCTGGTCAGACTAATTTTGCAGGTTTTGAATCAGTGCAAAGACCTACAATATCTGTTTACAAAAGGTGGGAGAGATACTTTTAATGTATCCTCCTAGGTTACCTAAAAGGAATTTCCTAAACAGCTGCTGTCTTTAGTTCAAGGTACAATTGTTATATTTTATCTTTTCTTCAATCACATTCCTTTTGTCTTAGTCCTTAATAAATGTATATGTCCATAAGCAGATTGAGACTTCCCATTTAATACAAATCTTGTTTTGAGACACTTTCCCTTTAATTTTGAATCATTCTAACGTGGGTAATGATTGCTGTATCAACATTTGAAAGATGTTTAAATTCTAAGAATAGAATTTGAGTTTCAGTTACTGGCTTAAAAAACAGCATTTAAAAAAATATAAATGAAAAGATATAATGTTTCAAAGGCAAGGCATTGGTCAGTTTACATTTCAGTTGGTTCTGCTTCCTTTCTTTGATCCTCATCAGCAAAAACTTTGGATCTGTATGTGCACATGACTGCATTTATAAATCTGACAAATTCTGAGTTTTGTAGAGGGCTATTTGGGGTTACAATAGATAAGTACAGTAAGTCCCTGACTTACAACCAATCATTTAGCAATTGCTTGAAATTACAATGACAGTGACTGAAAAAAGTGACTTACAACTGGTCCTTGTACTTGCTACTATGACAGCATCCCTATAATGATGTAATCAAAATTTGGAAGCTTGTCAACCAGCATTTATTTACGATAGTTGCAGCATGCTGGAGTCATGTGATCACCATTTGCAATCTTCCCAGCCAGCTTCCAACAAACAAAATCAATGGGGGGAATCTGGATTTGCTTAACGACCATGTGATTCACTTAACTACAGTGATTTGCATAATAACTACAGCAAAAAAAAAAAGTCACAGAATTGACCATGGCTCACTTAACAACCAGAAATTCTGATCCCAATGGTGGTTGTAAGTTTAGGACTACCTGTATATTCAGAGATATGGCATTATTTATTTTATTTTATTTTGAATTTGTATACCGCCCTTCTCCTTGAGGACTCAGGGCGGTGAACAGCCAAGTAAAAACATCAAGTACAAATATTAAAATACAGTTAAAATATACATATATAAATTTGGCCCCATTAATTAAAAACAATAAACAAAACACTTAAAAACACTTAAAAAATTAGGCCAGCCCGGCTTGCTGGAAAAGGAAGGTTTTAAGGGCACGGCGGAAGGCACTGAGGTCTTGGATTCTCCTTATCTCTGGAGGCAGCTGATTCCAGAGGGTAGGTGCCCCCACAGAGAAGGCCCTCCCCCTGGGGGTCACCAGCCTGCACTGTTTGGCTGATGGCACCCCGAGGAGGCCCTCTCTGTGGGAGCACACGGGTCGATGGGAGATCGTCGGTGGCAGCAGGCGGTCTCGAAGATAGCTAGGCCCTATGCCATGGAGCGCTTTAAAGGTGATAACCAACACCTTGAAGCGCACCCGGAAGACCACTGGGAGCCAGTGCAGCTCGCGCAGGAGCGGTGTTACATGGGAGCGCCAGGCTGCTCCCGTCACTACCCGCGCTGCTGCATTCTGGACCAGTTGGAGCCTCCGGGTGCTCCTCAAGCATTATAAAGCTTTTAAGGACCATGCTATCTTAAATATCACGTTAGTTCAGAAATCTAATGATATGAGATTGTAAGTTTAGAAGGCAAGCAAGAATAAAAGTTAAAATGAAGCAAAATGGTAAAATAGTCAGGCTTTTCTTCACTATTGAGTTGAAGTTCTAGTTACTCACCTTTGAGTCAGCAGAAAATTATACGAAATTATACGAAATGATATGAAATTTGCCATCCCCACCCATTGCTGATTCCTAGCCTTCCTTTATTGACTCTGAAATCAGTTGACTACTCTCAAAAGTAATGAATGACAATGCATAACAGATTTTATATAGATTGGTTTCACAATATACGTCCATATAATATTAATATTGTGACATAGTGAATGTTGTCTTAATATACATGTGGTAACTTCAGACTTAAGGTTTATTGCTCAGTATTTCCATCAGTCTGTAAGAACAAAATATTGTAGTCTTTAAAAAATGGCTTATAAAGGGAAGTGATGAAAAAATGAAAAGCAGCTATCTCCTTGTGCTGGATTTTTATAAACATACATTTATGAAGTATAAAACTCCCCAAAGGAAATGAAAGAATTTGGGAGATAATAAAATATGCAACCAACATTAAGTGTTTTTTCTGACAGTCAAGGTCAGAGCATCATTTTGGTTAATAGATCAAATGCATATGAGAATGGATATTATTAGCAGCAATCTATGCCAATTTTTAATGGGTGGCTGTGATTTGATGATTATTATGTAATTAATGAAATTGACCGTTTGTATCATTCAGCAACAAGAAAAGTTCTCTTTCTAGAATTCTATAAATATAACAGAAGTTGTCATTTTGTCTAATTAACTTGATTACAACACTGCTAGATAGAGTAGTGTATTTACTGAATGACCTAGTTAAAATGAACAAAATTTTGGATAAGGAGATATCATTTTTTCTCTTTTTTACATTACTTTTTTTTTTTTAATAAACCTTGTTTCTCTCTTGCTTGTCTTTTTTCTTTAAGAATAACCTAACTAATGTTTTTCATTAGCATGTTTTATAATTTATGTGGTCCCAATGGGCTCTGCCACGGTTAAATAATTTAAAGAAATAAACTCCCCCTCCTCCAAGCTTATCTAGCTTAGTGGAGTACAAGCTGCCTCGTTCTCTTACATAAAATACATCTGAGAAAAGCATGAGCAGGCAGCAGCCCCAAGCCTACAAATCTCAACATAAATATATAGCAAGATGTTGTGAATTTTATTTTATCTCTCCTTTTAAAAATAAAATAAAAAAAGGGGGGGGGAAGCCCATAAAAACAGATTATTCAGTAGTACGGTAGTTCCGGCTGTTTTGGATTACAAAAGGATATTATGGGAATGCACTTGACGTTCCCATAAATTAAAAATCAATTCTTAATGATGAAGCCAACTTGTTTTAGCACATTACCCAGGTTAAATGGGAGCGTGCGGAAACATCAAGCTCAATAAGATGAGGAGAATCTGTGTATATTAATATGATTTAGAGGATGGTCTACCTCGATGGAATAATTGTTATTATATCTATACAGCCAGATGGTACTTGGGGAAACAGTCACTAAACACCTCAGATAGAAAGCCTGTTGGCATTCCTTTCATGTGTTCACTCTGTATCTATTGTGTTGTATTTTCAATAAAGGGGGGGGAAAAAGTCATTTTGATGGTTTAATTTTTGAAATCTTTTTCAAAAGATATATAGTTTCATCTTTTTCCTTAAACTGCATTTCATTGTTATAATGATTTTTCTCAATAAAAATGCATTTTCTCTTTGAGCTGAGGCATGTTGAAATGCAGATGTTTTCTAACAACACATTTTGAATTTAACAATTCAGTCCTATGTATCAGGAGCGAGCAATTAAGTTTCCCAAAGGACTGCATGAGAAATTGGGGCTGTTGTGGAGAGTCAAACCAATAGGGCTGTGAAGGTGCATAGGCACACACACACACACACACACACACACACACACGTAAATTGAAAAAAAAAATACAGTCGCTTTCAAAATTAAAGAAATGCAATTCTATTGCATACATGGGATACATTTACATTTGATTTCCAATTTCTGATTGATCTCATGCAGGCCAGACAGAACAGCCAAAGTGCTGGATGTGACCCGGAAGCCATGAAATGTCCAGGTTTGCAATATGTTCATATGCAAAAATAAGTCAGTCTAAATATGTTCAAATTCAGTGAGACATTATAATTTTAATATGGTTTGGTATATATTCAAATATTTGAAAGATATATCTAGTCTAGACTATCTGAAATGCAGAATGATTCACAATTAGTACACATAAATTTATTTTTAATAAGGAAACTTGCATGGAAAAATTGCCAAAGGAATTACTTCTAAATCTATTTATCTGAGTGCAAAGACAACCTACTGCATCTGAAGTTTAACTGGTAAAGGATGTTTATTTGTTTATACAATTTGAGACAGAATCATTGATAAACACACATAGAAGTTTATTCAGAATTGAAGTTATGAAAATTTGTTTATTCATGATATTATTTGATAATGGAAATTCCTTTATTTAAATATAACATTGTTGAATAGAAGAATGATAGATAATTGGGCTAGAATAGAATGCACAGTGCAGTTAGAATCTTCTGTTAGGTTTACAATATTATTGCTTGCTTTGAATGTAAAACTATATTTAATATTAGGCACCTATTTTTCTTTTTTGTCCACATCCACATGGTGTGTTTGACAAATACTGGTATATGAAAGAATCTACTGATTAAGAGATGGTGATTGCACATTATTTATTTATTTCCATTACTTCTATATTTTTTTACTTCATAAAGATTCATAGTGGCTTACATTACAGGGTATTAGAAGTCTGGATTTCATAAACCAGATTGTACTTCACCAAGTGGTAAATTCTCACTTATTCTCTATGTGGACTTTCAGGAAAATAGTCCCAAAACTATCAGTGGAATTTAGAAATTAAGGGGGAAAGCTTTAGTGAGGCGCCAGTAGG